TAAGGTACTCAATAATTTGCTTATAGTCTGTCTTGCCCACTGGAATGCAAGCTTCATGAGGGTAGGATTTTATCTACTCACTGCTGTATCCATGGTGTCTATAAACAGGACTTGCAACATAGAAGGTGCTCAATAAATGTTCACTGAATAAATGAATAATCAAAATAGCATCATTAAGCTTTCCTTTTCTTGAAACTTTGAAGGGCAAAAGTTATTTTTCAGTAGAATTACATTCATCATTATTACAAACACCTATGGAAATAAGATATTCACAATTAAGCCCAAAACTTGGGTAGAACTGTTTTAGGGTCGATTTAGAGCATCAAATCAAAAACCTAAGGCCAAGCCTTCTGTGATTACGTTTACATCTAGATAACCAGGAATCAGTTTCTTAGGAAAACAAAGAGTTTATATCATGCTAACTTCTTTATAAAACAGAGATTAAACTTGCAGATCTGCGGTATAGATATCGTATAGCTCTATTATGCTATTTTATTCCACTCTAACAGTGTAATAAATATTGACTGATTTTCTAGTAAAGATGATAGGAATTTAGTGAGCCCTCAAGCCATTCATTTAACCAGTTACTTAGGCCAACAATTACTCCTGAGACCTCCATTTTTAGAGGTCAGAAATTCTTTATAAATATTTAAATTTAGCTCCCACAATGTTCCTTGGTATTAATTTAATATGTCCAGATTATTTTATATTTTCAAGATTAATTTGATATCTGTTATTTTATCAATTGATCCTAACCACAAACTTAGGGGTAACTAATTATTATTCTTTCTAGGTGAGTCTGAGAGCAGTGCACAGAGGCTGTTGGGTAGAAATAATGATAGTATTTGTACCCATGGCTTGTTTAGAAGTATATTTCTTAATTTCCAAATACTCGGAGGATTTTTAAAGTCATCGTTTTGTTATTGTTTTTAGCTTAAATGTACCATGAACAGAAATTATATTCTGCATATTTAAACATAATATGTACTCCAAACTTGTTGGATACAGTATTCTACAGTTTGCTATGTTGCTAAAAATCTATATTATGCTGATATTTAAAATGTCTGTTCCATCAGTGATTGAATAAGGGGTATGAGAATCTATAACTTTCTTTTGCTCTGTGACAGACATTGTTAAGAGAACAAAAGGGCAAAACAAAGAGTGGGGAAAATATCTGCAAGTCACATATCCAACAGAAAAAGTGTATCTAGAATATATAAAGAGTTCTCAAAACACAAGAGTAAAAAAAGAAAAGAACAAATTAAATAATGGGGAAAACACCTGAACAGACATTCATCAAAGAAAAGATATGATACCCAACATCATTAGTCATTAGGGAAATGCAAAGTAAAACCATGATGAGATAAAACACACCTATCAGAAAAGCTTAAAAAGAAACAAAACAAAACAGTGCCACATGCTAAAAGGATCTAAAACAATTGGAACTTGCAAAGATGCTGGTGGGGATACAAAGTGGTTCACTCAGTCTAGAAAACAATTCCGTAATTTCATATAAAGCTAAGTATACACTTGTTATATGACCCAGAAATTCCACTTTGGGATTATTACCCTACAGAAATGAGAACTTAAATTCACACAAAAACCTATAAATGAATGTTTGCAGTAGGCCTATTAATAACAAAACAAAACAAAACAAAATACTTTCCAGTATTTCCAGAAGGACCCAGATGTCCTTCAGTGGGTGAGTGGAGAAACAAACCATGGTACATCCATATAACTGAATACAATTCAGCAATAAAAGGCATGAACTACTGAACTACACAGTACCTTGGATAAATCCCAAATGCATTACTATAAGTAAAAGAAGCCAGTCTCAAAAGGTTACATACTGCAGGATTCCATTTATAAGACATTTTGGAAAAGACAAACTATGGAGTCAGGCAACAGACCAGGGTTGCCAGGAACCGGGGGTAAGTATGAGGCTGGACTTACCAGTAGGAGGCTGGGCAGCACAAGCCAGTGTATTTTTTTTTGGGGGGGGGGGGGGGGGGGGGGGGCACGGGCTCCAAAGCACAGGCCCAGTAGCTGTGGCACACAAGCCTAGCTGCTCTGCGGCATGTGGGATCTTCCCGGGCCAGGGCTCGAACCCGTGTTCCCTGCACTGGCAGGTGGATTCTCAACCACTGCGCCACCAGGGAAGCCCCCTCAAATCTTTTCTTCTTTCCTTTTTATCCTGAACCTGTCCTTCATCCTTTTCTTTTCTACAGTTTCCTTTTCCCTTATTCATATAATCTTGCAGGTGCACTAAATGTTTTTGTTTTGTCAAATAGGCCATGTTCTCTCTTGATTCCAGGTCTTCCTTCATCCTGATGGCTCTATGGTGAAAACTACTCCCTTGGCTAGTTCTTATTAACTTTTCTGGCTTCAGTAAATTACTACTAAGAAGGCTTCCCTACCCTCTGCTCCCAGGCTGGATTAGAAGTTCCTGCCACAAGGTCCCATGGCATTCTGTACTTGCCCCTTCATATTCTCAAATACTTAACTGTTCATACATGCTCTAATTCTTTCCCCTCACTATCTTGTGAGCTCCATGAGGGCAGGGATAATTGATGTTTTGTTCACTAAGTCATCCTTAGTGCCAACACTGTGTAAGGCACATAACAGATGCACTGCTATGATGGTTCTAAGACTTATTTGCATCTTGCAGATTGCTATAAATAACTTAGTTCTACTCTAATTTTTTCAGCCTACATTCTGGAGGCAGAGAGAAAAGATCTTACCTTGCTTTTCAAAATAAAATATTATTTCAAACATACTTTTGCTTGTGATATTCAATTAAAACTTAAGTATTTTCCTTATGTGTCCTCTCCCCTCTACCTTTTGTCCTTTTTGTTCCTGAGGCTACAAAACTTCCCTTCATGTTCACTGAACATTTGCACATTTTCTGAAGTTCTCCACATCCACATCCACATACAGCAGAAACACCTTTTCCTAGCTGGGTTATTTTGTGGGGTTTTTGGTTTTTTTTTTTTTGGTTTGTACAAAATATTTAAAATTTAAATTCCTTTAATTTGGCACTCTACATGATTGGCTTTCTGAGAAAGAGTTTTACAATCTACTAATTTAAACAATAAAAAAACATAACTTAGACAAATCAATAAATAATGATATGGTTAATTATGTATGAGATCCAGCCATGTCACTTAAGTTAAAAAAAGTCTAAGATTCTTTGTATTATATAGACAGCAGTCAATGATAACAGCAGTCTAAACCACCTTGTTTAGCACTAAAATGACTGATTTTAGTGGTCTTTTTTACTGTTAACCATAGTCTAGTGTACATATTTAAAGTTCCATTTGTTTTAGACTGTACTATAATAAAAACAAAATCTAGTGACCACTACGTTACCTTTGGAGAGTCATGTTCAAAAGTAATAGCCCGCAAAGAGGGAGGGAGGGTGAAGGGCCCATTCTAAAGAACACAAGAAGTTCAAGGGAAACTTAAACATTTTAAATGGAACCAGACAGACTTCCAAGTCACAAATGCTCAGAATTACCAGATCCAGTCATGTGAGGAAAGCAAGTCATTTGGTTTTTTAAAAGGAATGGGTCTGCATATGTCTATATGTTAAAATAAATTAAAAATAACTATCTAAGGAAAACTTAACTCCCTTTCAGGCTGGGATCCATATTAGGCTTAGTAGTTTGTCCCAAGAAAATATAAAACCTATCACCAATTAAACTGATGATTACCTATAATTCCACTTTTCATTAGGTATAGAGAATAGCTGTACTTCAGGTACTTCTAAAGGAATATAATCTCTTGATGAAACAATCATGAGAAGGAATCTAGGTGAAGAGACGCACAAATGAAGGACAGTCACTCACAAATATGCTTATGGCAGGAGGATAACAGTCTTTTGGAAGCAGCAAATTGACACAATGAAAAAGAAGTCAGGGAGGATGGTGATGGGATGAATTGGGAGACTGGGATTGACATATATACACTAATATGTATAAAACAGACAACTAATAAGAACCCACTGTATAAAAAATAAATTAATTAAATCAAAAAAAATAAACTAAATAAAAGCTTTATCTCCTCCAAAAAAAAAAAGAAAAAAAGAAAAGAAAAGTTAAGGTGTTGTACAGGAAAAGCCAGTGATTATAGAATTCCATCCTAACAAAGGAATGGCAGAGGGGCAACGAAAATATGTAAATACAATTGATTTTGTGCTTTATAAATAAAAATTTATAATGATGTTACTAAATGATGAAAGGAGTGTAGTAATACAGGCCTCAGTGAGGTGAAAGCATCTTTTATGATAATGATTTCATAAAAGTTAAAAATTCAAATTACTTTTCCTGTAACAGTTTTTTTAATTTGTTTTTTAAATTTATTAATTCATTTATTTATTTTGGGCTACATTGGGTCTTTGCTGTGCGCAGGCTTTCTCTAGTTGCGGCAAGCAGGGGCTACTCTTCGTTGTGGTGTGCAGGCTTCTCATTGCGGTGGCTTCTCTTGTTGGGAGCCCGGGCCCTCGGCGCACAGGCTTCAGTAGTTGTAGCTCGCGGGCTCTACAGCACAGGCTCAGTAGTTGTGGCGCACGGGCTTAGATGCTCCGGGGCATGTGGGATCTTCCTGGACCAGGGCTCAAACCCGTGTCCCCTGAATTGGCAGGCAGATTCTTAACCACTGCACCACCCGGGAAGCCCCCTGTAACAGTTTTTATTTTGCAAACTAAAAATTCTAAAGGTACTGTCTCTTATGGTCAGCAAAAATTATCCTTATAACATAAAACACTACCTTGAAGAAAAATAACATGAAAAATCCACTTCCACCACTCTTCTTGTCAGGTATTGAATCTTAAGTGATTGTAACTGTGAAAATACTTATATTCAGAGGAAATTTTCAGTGCGACTATGCTGGCAGCACTCACTGTTCCATTTGTATTCTAATCCTATCAGGGAATTAAAGATTTTTTTTGCTGAATAATGGTGCCTAACTCAACAATATCAAAATGCATTTTCTTCACTTACCCTTGCATAGTGGAATTCAACTCCATAGAGTTCTAAGGTACGTGCTGTGTTCAGGTAATTAAATTCTGCTTCTGCAGGAGATAAGCCTCTGTAAAAACATCATTAGGTTAAAAATTATAACAATCACAGATATGACCAAATTACAAAAAGGCGATTTGTCTGAAACTTTCCAGCATTCTGATTGACTATTTTACAAAACGCCATGTGCACGGGCGCTCCTCTTAGCTCTGTGCAGTAACATCTAACTTTTCTGGAGGATACATTTTCAGTAACACAAATTATTATTTTGTAGAATATTTTCTTATTTTCCAGAAACACAAGAATGCACCAGCTTTTTAAAGTTCTAAGCTACTCTCAGATTTAACTTTAAAAAAAGCCACTCTCAGACTTGCAAAGCCACTCTCAGACTTAACTTAAAACAAATATTTTTCGAAATCTGGTCTACACTCCATATGTGCATTGTAATCACACGGTGCTTCTGACACATGCAGTCTCTGGGGCGAGCTCTGGAGCAGGGCCTCTCAGGGTGTGGTGCACAGACAGGTGTTGACTCATAACAAGAACAGAAATTGAGAGTGTCACAGCCTTTTGTAGCACTTTGGCAGAGTAATTTTATGTCTGTTGCATCTAACAACAAAAAAGTACTTGTTAATTTTTTATGCCTTTGTTTATTTCTCCATTTTATTTTTCTAGTAATTCATTTTTATTATATTTTTCAGAAGCACCATTCCATGAGAGACTGAGGGGGAAACTGGTCTTTCATCACAGGTAGTTTCAGATGCACTGTTCTTTAGAAACTGATATAGAATAAATGGGTCCAAATTGTTTATATTTAAGAAATATTCCAGGTGATTCTTATGAACACAAGTTTGAGAACTACTACTGTAAAAGCAAAGTCTTTAAAAAGGCTATATTATATATAGTTCTAACAACCTTGGTTATCTGATATTATCAGGCTATAGCAGAGCAAAAGCAACAAATTAAAAATGCAAAGATATCACCTTTCATTCATGAATGATATCAGGGAGCAAGCAGCCTGCCAATGTATGATCATAAAAATGGGATTCCTCAAAAACAGGAGATATACTTCAGTTTTCTATAAAATTCAATTAAGTTAAATAAACACTCTACTTTCTTCCCTACCCTCCTGCGTTATAAACTGGATGATTCTATTTTTTCTTTCTTTAAAAATTTGCAGAACCATTTCTTTAAAGCAAATAGAAATATATAATAAATACCTTGTGAAATGTACAAACTTTTTCCTGACAGAACAGACTTGTCATTATTGGTAAATTTTTTTTAAAAATCTGGTTTATCTTCAAACCCTTGGTTCAGATATGCAATGTGTAGAACTTTCATAATAAATGGCATTCGCTTTTAGACCACAACAGCCCCCATACCACATGAAGCCGGTCTGTTAAAATTCTCACTCATTAATCTTGTTTTAGATTAGGGTCCGCAAACCTTTACTGGAAAGAGCTGGCTAGTAAGCACTTCAGGCTTTCAGGCCATATGGCCTCTACTGCAACAACGCCGCTCTGCTGTTACGTGAACACAGCCACAGACAATGTGTAGGCCAATGAGGGAATCTGTGTTCCAATGACTGTTCACGTAAGGACACTGAAAGTAGAATTTCTCAAAATTTCATGTGCCGCAAAATGTTCTTCTTCTTTTGATTTTCTTCAACTATTTCAAATGTACAAACCATTTTTATTAGCTCGTAGAGCATGCAAAAGGAGGCAACAGGCCATAGTTTGCCAACATGCTGTAGACACATGGGCCATTACCGAATGAAAATGAGTCTCCTTATTAATAAGAGCTAATATTTCTTCAATGCTTACTATGTGCCAAGCACTGTTCTGAGTACTTTGTATATATAAACTCACTTAATCCTTATAATGACACCAGAGGTAGATAGTTTTATCATCCCCAATTTACATGTAAGGAAACAGAAACAGACATAGAGTGATTCGGCTGAGGTTACAAGATTGTAAGTAAAGTAGCCTCATCAGAATTTCAAACGAGGCCAAATGAGTCTGGCTCAGATTCTTAGAGTCTAGTTCAGATTCTCAGCCAATATGTAAGACTGCCTTAGTTCCTCCATGAGTATTCTGAATTGTATGGTAAAGCAAAACTGAGCTCTGGACCAAGAATCAAAACGGTTTTCTATTCCAAGCGATAAACCTCTTCTTGAAAACTCATGTCACAGAAAATCAGACTCATAAAATATCAAAGTTGAATGTTGTTATAAATGAAAAAATGCTACTATTTTAAAAGAATTTTTTTTTATTAATTTAGTACTACATAAAGTTCCTTTTCTTCTCTTGGCTCATTACCAAACGGAATTGATTCCTTTCACACAGCTAAAAACTAAGAAAGAATTGCTAAGTAGACTGAACTGTATATTGTGAACATATTATTAATATTCTAAAATTCCTTCTTCAAGAACTGGCGACTTTGTATAATAGCCAATACATGTCTGTTTACATACAGCTTTATGTTTCTTAACAGACATGAAAACAAGGCTCATATAGTCTATGATTTTTTTTAGTATAGATTACCTACATTTCTTTACAGTAATCATACTATTTTATATAATAGTAACTATTCTATATTCAGTAATCACATTAGAAACAATTTAAAACATTTCTCTAGAAAAGATGCCATTAAGAAGTTTATCAAGTAAGCAGAAAGTAAGTAAATCCTTACGTATGTTGCTGATGTAGTTTTGCAATTTCTTTTTCAAAATCTTGAGGTTGATTAGGAATGAAAGAATAATCTGAGAGGTAGCCTGGCAAGTTTTCTGATTGACTGTAGTCTCCAAGTTCGGCTAATAAATGGAAAGAAAATATTCACACTTCAATAAACACATTTTTCAAGTTTTATAGCCAAATCAGCAATGTCAAGAATTCCTTTATATTTCTGGAAGTAAAATATTTGTTTCTACTGTTACCATTTAAGCAAATTATAACAATGCATTTAACGTTCTCCTAGGTCTTAACCAACTTCAGAAAAATTATTTTCAGGAATCAAAGTAAGTGCTAACTAATTAGATGCTTCATTACACTTTCTGTGTAGTCACTTTTTTCTGCATAGTAACATATGTTTAAATAACTCATACATTAAAGGCCGTACTACCAACAGAGACCATGAAATCACATGCTATTTGGCCCAAAGGTGGACTGATACTTACACTGAACAGCAAATGAAGCCAAAAGAGCAGCAGTGTTATAAGGACAGGGCAATCTAATAAAACAGAAAATAACTCAAGGTTAAACACAATAATTTTAAAAGCACTATAATTTATATTATACTATTCACAATTGAAGTTTCTGTGTGACTTACATTTTAACTATTAAGTAATGAACTTATCTGATGAAAGGAATTCATGCTACATGTAGCCATCTTTCAGTAGATAATCTGTTTGCAATGATCATGAACTACTTAATACAGAATTGGAAGTATTTTTAAAGCCCATTACTAAAAACTTAAAACAGCTCACCTTCCAGTAAGTATGTCTTGTTTGATTTGCAAGAAATACTGGTACCTTAAAAAAAAAAAGATAGCATTTACTGGAATTATAACATTTAGAGTTTTAAAAACTGTATATTTACATTAACAAATAAAACTGGAATATTTAAGTATTTGCTTTTATAATAGGCATATTAGCCCAAGTAAAGATATTTTAAAATAAACTTTCATAAATACATGAATCCAAACATTTAGAATTCTTTGATAAGTGAAATTTGATACTTATATTTTGTTTCCCTAGCTTCTATTATAAAACTTACATGAATTTAAGAATTACATGACTGAGGGTGGTTAGGGAGAAATACTCTAAAGTGGGATTTCCCTGGTGGTGCAATGGTTAAGAATCTGCCTGCCAATGCAGGGGACACGGGTTCGAACCCTGGTCTGGGAAGATCCCACATGCCGCGGAGCAACTAAGCCCGTGTGCCACAACTACTGAGCCTGCGTGCCACAACTACTGAAGCCCACGTGCCTAGAGCCCACGCTCCGCAACAAGAGAAGCCACCATGACGAGAAGCCCGCGCGCCACAACGAAGAGTAGCCCCTGCTCACCGCACTAGAGAAAGCCCACGCGCAGCAATGAAGACCCAATGCAGAGCCCTCCCCGCAAAAAAAACAAATACTCTAAAGATTGGTGTATGCAGAAAGTAGAACTGGAAAGCACAGAAAACTTAAGTCAGAGACATAGAAGAGCTGACAGTAGCAACACTAGAGACCAACTAAAGAAAATCACTCTTTCAGCTGAGCCAGGAAGCCAGCTGCAAGGACAGGCCTATGTGTTCATCACCGTATCCTCAGGCAGCAGGAAGCTGCTAATTGTAGAAAAGCACTTTCCATCTTCATTTGGGTTAAGAAAGTTCTCTTTGATCAAAAAAAAAAAACCGAAAAAAGAAAAAAAAGGTAAGTTCCTTTCCTTATTTTCGCTTTCCTATTAAAAGCCAAGTACCCAATTTCCTTTAAAACCAACAAAAATGTAAGTATCCTGTAACAAGAATGCTGAAGTTGCTTACAAGATGGCACCCCCCTTCTGTCCTTGCTAGTGGGTAGTCATCCCTTCATAGATTTGTCAATGCCTGGGTAAAGTCACCTGTGCTGTATCACGTTGGCAGAAGATAAAATTTTGTGGCTTTTAATGTTTAAACAGAGAATTTTAAGACCTTCATTTCACCCAACTAAAAAAAGTTCACATACTCCAAGAGCCAAAAATTATTTAAAGCTTTAGTTGTTTAGCTGATTAAAGTTGACTATTAAAGAGTTCCATGACAATATTCAAATTACCAAAGAATGTAATTAAGGTTTTCAGAGAATCAGATAAAAAAAGCTGATACAAATACCCTGGCTTCATATATTAATAAATGAAGTATATAAACTCTCTGTTAGGCTTAATACATAGTATTACACTATTATCTATGTACTCAATCCAAGACAACATATTTCTATCTGGCCTACTTGGCTTCATAATTAAAAGTTAAAGGTTTCTGGTGGGAAAGTCCTTTTTTTTTTTTTTTTTAAATATTTATTTATTTAGGCTGCACCAAGTCTCTGCTGTGAAACCTGGGATCTTCAATGCGGCATGCAGAATCTTCAGTTGTGGCATGTGGACTCTTAGTTGTGGCATGTGGGATCTAGTCCCTGCCCAGGGATCGAACCCAGGTCCCCTGCATTGGGAGCTTGGAGTCTTACCCACTGGACCACCAGGGAAGTCCCTGGTGGGAAAGTTTTACAGTTAGGATTGAAATGTGTATATCCTTGACATAATATTGTAAATCCTACACAAATAACACCTATGTTTCCTGACTTTGATTTACACACTGAGCAGTAAGGACTGATAGAGTAGAAACCGGAATTAAAAGTCCTAAGCTAAACCAGCCTGTGATCTTTGGCAAATTACTTAAAATTGGGTGGAGCCTTAGTTTCTCTATTTGTAAAAAGGAAGTAACATCACTTGCCTGGTATATGTATCCCAGGGGCCCTAAATATCGTGATAAAAGCCCAATTTTTAAAGACAATTAATACCTTTAAGGTAGATTAATAATGATTGAGCTAAATGCAGAAATATGTTTAAGCTGTAAAAAAAATACAATAAAATACCATGCACTAAACACCTATTATGTACTGAGTACACCTAAGCACTAAAAAGATATGAAAGAAATGTCATTTGTATTCTGATGACTCCTAAGAAAATGCCAATTCTAATTACGCCAGCACCTGTTAATACAAATGACATTTAACCTGACGAAAGGTCTGTAACTACTTTCTTTTTTTACCACTAATCCAAAATAGAATCTCAAGGCAAGGAGGTGTAGCAGTAATTTCTTGTTTTGTGGGGTTTAAACTAGTCCTTAAAATTTAGCCGCTAACTGTGGCTAAGGGTATCCTACTATTAATCATGACCATAACAAGAAGGCTACCCAAGCACTAAAGTTTTAAAGGAGTATTTTTTAACCATGGAATCACCTGGAAGCCTATGCCCAGTTCCCATCTGACACCTATTAAATCAGTTTCCAGGGGTGTTGCCAAAGCATCAGCACGTTTTAAAGCTCCCCTGTAAGTGATTCTAACTTGTAATCAGGGTAGAGAATCCTTGATGTACACAATGGTGATAAAAATAAAATCGGCCCTTCACTCCATTTTACCAAGCAACGCCAGTTACAAGGTTCCAGGACATTCCATTATAAAGGATTTTTTGAAATAATGCATTATTTCTAGGGAGAACAAAGATAATATTCTAGACTGATGGACAGCACAATTCCTCAATTTCTACCAAACGTGATTTTACTTTATTCTACTTCATGAAGATAGTTTGACTTTAATTATCAGTGAGACACATTTATTCCTTGGTTATGTTTTCAACACAGGCCATAAAAGAACCAACACATTCAAACTCATTAAGAAATTTAAAGACAGTTTTCTGAGTGAAATACATTATGAATATGGCTACAACTGACAATATTTTAATTGCTTATGTTAACAAACTTTTCATAAGCATTAAATACATTAGAAATCCAATTAAAAATTATTGGTCTTTTATTTACAAATATTTCTTATAATTTAAAAATCTAATTACATAAATATATATTATGGAATACTTTGTTACTTGATTTCAAGTTACAAGTACTAGTAAAAAATGCATTTTGGGCTTTCCTGGTGGCGCAGTGGTTGAGAGTCCACCTGCCGATGCAGTGGACACGGGTTCGTGCCCCGGTCCGGGAGGATCCCTCATGCCGTGGACCGGCTGGGCCCGTGAGGCATGGCTGCTGAGCCTGCGCGTCCGGAGCCTGTGCTCCGCAACGGGAGAGGCCACAACAGTGAGAGGCCCGCGTACCGAAAAAAAAAAAAATGCATTTTAAAATCCTTTATAATTCACAATTTTCAGTAATTGAGAGTAGTTTCCTTGAAGTTCCTCCAAAATTAGGGAAAGTTTGACGCCACTGAGAATTATTTAAGATAAAAGATCTTGTTATTTTAATTATTTAACAACAACAACAAAACCTGACTAAGAGCTACAATATTAAACTAAATATTTATATGATACAACTTGGCTTTTCAAGATAAATTAGGTTGGACGTTATTAGGGTCAAATGTTAGGACTGCCTAATCCCAGATCTATATTCCTGAGATCTCCTGTTAGAAGAAAGGTGACACCCTGCCCCCCCACAAACACACAGAAAAGGACTCTCAAAAGTTCTTTGTTTCTCCACTTCACCACAGTATTCTAAAGGGTAACCAACACATTACCATCTAGGAGCCTACGTACAGGTGGCTTTAGGTGTGGGTTTTTAATTTGGCGCCCATCTTTCAGAGTAATTCTGAATATAGTCTGACCTATATTCTTATATCTTATGGAAAGTATAATATGCTAATTTTTAACTCTGTCTTTTTTTTAAAAAACTAATTACTAATTCTGTCTTTCAAGCAATACACAAGGTTATCACTCAGGTTTTTTTAAACAATGACAGTTACCACACTGTGATTACTCCCCACTATTTCCACCTTAAACAGTTCACCTAACATTTACACACTACCAAAACACTCATCTGGGTCATTCTTTTTTTTTTTTTTTTTTTTTTAGCGGGCCTCTCACTGTTGTGGCCTCTCCCATTTGCGGAGCACAGGCTCCGGACGCGCAGGCTCAGCGGCCATGGCTCACGGGCCCAGCCGCTCCGCGGCATGTGGGATCTTCCCGAAACGGGGCACGAACCCGCGTCTCCTGCATCGGCAGGCGGACTCTCAAGCACTGCGCCACCAGGGAAGCCCTCTGGGTCATTCTTGTGTGTACTTTGTCAAGTAGAAGGGACAACAAAATTAGCTGTAAATTAATATTAGACCTACAACGGCCAGTAGAGGGGGCATTTACAGGCCTGAACGTGCTAGTGAGCTCTGCCAACTCCCTTTACAAAGATGCCTGCTGTGCTCTGTAAAGTGCAGCACTCCTACACTTAACGGTGTACAGTTTATAAAGCCTATGTCCACCTCCATGGAAATAACGTATATATAGAATATATTTTTACAAGAAAAAAAAAACAGACACAATTCTCACTATGCAGAATGCCTTGAATACAACTGCAGCATCATCTAATTACTTCAGTTAGTTACAGCAGTGCTTCTGAACCATTCTTCACAAGTAGAGAAGTTAATATTGATATGGCTAGGGAAGCTGCTTGTGGCTGGACGGGGTGGCCCTGGGGTTTCAATCTCCTGAAGCCCTCCCAGCCATCCAACAGAGGAAGAGACTTAGCTTGAAACGTCTAGAACCCACTCTGTGTGCTGGCAGGGAAGCTCAGAATGATGTCATGGTAATCTATTTTTACCTAATTAATTTCAAATTTTCATAATGGTTTTGACAATATTTTCAAGTAAAAACATGCTCCATAAAAACCCACCTTGTATATTCTTCTTGTAACTTGTTGGGGTCACTTACAAAAAATTTGACTCTAAAGTTCAAACTGTAAGGAGATCCTCCTAGAATTAATAAAAGCAGTTCTAATTAATTAATTATATTAGTCCTTTATCTTTATAAAGTATACTTGTATAACATCAAATAAATATGTTTGCTCACTCTTTAGCTGCTTCCTTATTGGTTTGTTTGGATCCAGCCACCTCTGAAAAATAAATAAATAAGACTGATTTCCTTTTTTCCCGGAGGAACTAATACATCAATTCTTGCAAGTCTGTTCCATTTGAAGATTAATGCTAAAAATTGCATTTTTTGAAAAGGCCTAGGTAGGGGGAAAAGAATCACTAAATTACAGACTCATATCAAATATAACAAAATTATGCTAGAAAGTATTGAATGTACTTGTGCTTTAAGATTTTGATTTCAATTTCTCATTAAGTTATATAGTGTGCAATAACCTCTATTCCAAAAGTAAAAATGCTTAATAATCACTGCAATATGAAGTGATTCTGTTAATTTAACTATATTATATAATAGTCTATCAAGTTTTTAAAATTCTCTTTATCTTTCATAAAAATATGCTTGGCTTTATGCTCTCATTCAGACAAAATTTAACTACACATCATGAATATCTATTCTTATGAAAAATTTTAACTCCTACTCTATCCCTTAAAAAAGAAAACAAAAAACAAAATACTCCCCCCCCAAAAACACCCCATACTAATTTTTTAAGAGACAATGTTTAGTTTGGGGAAGGACTGCTTTTTGTATATGAAAATTTCAAGTAGTCTCGACACTTCTGAATGCCAGTTAAGCTCTATTTCAGGCGAACTATAACTAAATTCAGAAAACATTTCAACTGCCAACGTTCAGTTAAAAAAATTAAAGAATCCAAAATGAGGTGATAGACGTGGCAGTATTTTCAAAGCACTGCACAAATATAAGCTTACATATCGTTACTTATAAACTGTCCTCCTACCACCCATACTTGATTCCATGCAGAGCACACAAACAGATTTCAGTAACAAGTGGCTGAAAGTCATCCATGAATACCTTCCTTTCCATTATCCATAACATCCAACATATCCAATCCAACTAATTCTACCTTCAAACCGTCCCTAGAATTGAATAATTCTTCACCATCTACTCTGCCACCATCCATGTCTCTGGGACAGCCCCGGCCACAGCCTCTTACCTATGGGCTCTGCCTCTTACCATCATCCTCCCTGCCCCCGAAGCTACAGTAGTCTTTTTTTTTTTTTTTCTTTTTGCTACAGTAGTCTTTTAAAAGGCTCACTCCTTTGCTTAACATCTCTTGATAATTTCTCAATGTTAAGGTCCAAAGGCCTTACTGTGGCTTACATCGTCTCTCCCTACTTCCTTTTTTTATTCTATTGGTCTTTCTTTAATGTTTTATTTGCCTCAGTTAATTTTAAAAATGTATATTTCAAAGAGGCAATTTTAGACTCCTGATAAGTTTTGGAAGCCTTAAAATACCAATCAAAATAGGTGTCCAGTTCAGTTTTGACAGTTCCAAATCTGTGGCTGTCTAACACAGTTTTTTTTTAACATATACGTATATCCACTCTTTCTTAGATTTTTTTCCCATGTAAGCCACCAAAGAGCACTGAGTAGAGCTCCCTGTGCAGCAGGTCCTTATTAGTTATCTATTTTATACGTACCAGTGTGTACATGTCGATCCCAGTCTCCCAATCTACTCTCCCTCCCCCCTGGTAGCCATAAGTTCGTTTTCTGCATCTGTGAGTATTTGTTTCGTAGGTAAGTCCCTTTGTACCCTTTTGCAGACCCACATATAAGTGATATCATGTGTTATTTCTCTCCTCACTTCCTCCACCTCAGTTTACTGAGCTCCAGCTTAATGGCCTCCTTTCTGTTTCCCCAAGATGCCGGAGCCTTCAATTCTAAGCTTCCTTATGCACAGAATGTCCTTCTCTGGCTTTTCCCATGGCTGACGTCTTTCGTTATCTAAGTCTCAGCTTAAATTCCACCTCATCAGAAAGGCCTTCATGGACTGCCCTATCTATCAAAAGTATCATATGTCACAAAGCTCCTATCTACTTAGTTATTTTCCTTCGGGTAAGGAACGTTAAATTCCTTCATAACATTTTCTTAATTGCAACATATTTGTTTTACTTTTTTATTGCCTATCTCCTTTCTTAGATTTTGAACTCCTTAAGGTAAGGAATAAAATCTGATTTATAGCTGAAGGGTCAGTACCCAGCACAGAACACGGCATATAACATCTACTAAAAATACCTGGTGAAGGACTAACCCTGCTGGATGACTCAGTGGGGCGGGGTAATCTGTTTCTGTGCCAATAATCAGATGGTTTTCACCCCTACTTAACACATCTGTTCCCCCTATGTATCCACCCCATTTATCCATAGTCTCACCCACCTATCAATCTGGTGATTTTTTCCTCCATACTTTCTAGAAAAAAAACCATAAATTACATTTATTTTAATGTCTGTCTAAAATGGAAATTTGGGACCAGTTATTGCCCCAAAGCCTGCCTTCCTGACCAGAAATGCAGACATATTTACATACACAAGTAGATGTGTGAGGCTGACACAGCTAGGAGTACACTAACAAGTACTGGGAAATGTAATACTTCCTCAATGACGTCAATTAGATAGGATGTAGGTTCTTGGCTTAAATCATGAAGATGGAGCCAGATGAACCTGAGGGTCACAGGGTCAACTTCACTCACGCCACGCCAAAATTCAGTTCAGATTCTAACTAGCAACTGCACTGACTTTACCAGTGAAATCTTCACAGCAGTGAGTCTCCCTCATCCTGAACGTGTTATTTCTCCATTTACTCATGTCTTCTATTATCTCTTCCTGTAAAGTTTTATAGTTTTCTTCCTATAGATTTTGACACCACTAATGTCAAAAGTTTATTCATAGATATTCAATGGATTTGGGTTTTTAAAAGAAAACTTATTTAATTTGCTATTTTGTTGGATTATGTTCCCTAATTGATATATTGAAAGTTATTGATATTTATTTGTTTGTTCAGCTTTAAGTCCTACTAGTTGTAAAAAGTTTTCCAAATGATTCATTTGGACTCTCAAGGCAGATTCATTTTATCACTAAGAAGAAATGAGTTCTCTGCACCTTCATCCCAAACACACAAACATATTTATTCCACAGGGAACTGCACCTGCTGCCCTCGTTGAACCAGAGAAAGAGAAGAGGGCTAAGCAGCGTGGCTGTTTCAAATCGTTTTGATAAACTGTGCTGCCTGACCCTGAAAACTCTCCGCCTCTACTGTATTTCTTTGCTACATTCTTTTTTCGGTTTCCTCTATTTGATTTTTCCACCAATCCTTGCAAGCACTGAATCTTCTAAGAAATCCTTAACACCTCTTGTCTGCTCATGGCACTCACTGGAAAGCAACAAAAAGCAGGCAGAAGAAATTGGACCTAAGTCTATTCTTGAAAAACAAAAACTGCAATGGGTGAGATTTCTATAGCTGCAGTTTTTTGCCTGAGAGCAATCTGAAATCCTGCAACAGGCAGGGGACAGCCTCACTAAAACTTGAGGTGTCAGTGGACAGAGTTCAGGCAGGAGTGGCAGGGTACCCAGAAAATTGAGGAGGAAATCCTGAAAGAGAGGGAGGCAGCAGAAGGGCTTAACTCTAAAATCCGGATATAAAAGCCACCTCAACTCTGGCTGACAGTTCAACTTCTACAGGCACAGGAAGACCGCAAAGCCCCAGGAAAGAGAAGCAGTTGCAAACGTTAAGAAATGAATAGAGACAACCGTTCGCCCAAAGGGAAGCAGAGTATGGACTGTGGGTCCAGATCCACTCGTTCTCAATTAACACAGTCCAAGTCGTACAGGACGTCACTACCACGTCCATAGCCAAGTTCTTTCTATCACCCTGAGAGGTTTCCTGTGTCCCTCTGCACCCAGTCCCCCAAGCTCAGGCAATCAGTGATCTGCTTTCAGTCACTATATACCAGTTTTGCTTGCTCTAGAATTTAATATAAATGAAATAATAGAGTACATCATGCAAAAATATAACAATTATTTTTCATCCATTCACTATTGACAGATGTTAAAGTTAATTCAGGAATGAACTATTATGAATAAAGCTACTATGATCACTTGTGTACAAGGTTTCGTGTAACATGTTTTCATTTCTCTTGGATAAATATCCAAAAGAGGGGTTCCTTGGAGGTATATATTAAATCTATGTTTAGTTTTACAAGAAACTGCCAAACTCTACTTTCCAAAGTGGTTGTATCCTTTTAAAGTCCTACCAGCAATCCTTAATAGTTGCTCCACATCCTTGCCTAAGTGTGGTATGGTGAGACTCTAATTTCTTAACTATTCTAATGGACGTTCAGTGACATCTCATTGTGGTTTTACAATTCCCTGATGCACCTGTGTTTAGTAGATGTCCTTTATCAGAGTGAGAATGGTCCTTTTCCAAGTTTAAGAGAGTTTTCATTACGAATGGATGCTGAATTTTATTCTATGTAAATTATGCCTCAATTATACTGATTTAAAAGAAAAATTCTAGAAGCTAGAATCACACTTAATGGTGAGACGCTGAGTACCTTCCTCCTACGACAGGGAACAAGTAAGGCAGTGTGCTGCCGTCAGTCACCTCTATTCGTCATTGTCCTGGTAGCCTCAGCTTTCATGTAATAAAGAATAAAAAATAATGGTAAAAAAGAATAAAGACTGGGAGGGAAGAAGTAAAACCCCCTATTCACATATGACATGATTTACGCAGAAAAAAGCATATGTTTACATGACAATCTATGTAGAAAGATTGTCATGTAAACATATGTTACATGAGCTCCACCCCATGTTACTGGAGCTCCACCCCAAACTTTCTGAATCAGAAACTCTCTATGTAGAAAATCCTACAGAATTTACAAAAAGTGACTAGAATTAATAAGTGAGTTTAGAAAAGGTTACACAATAAAAAAAATAAACTGTATTTCTATATGCTAGAAATAAACAAACTGGTAACTAAAAAAGAAAACCAACAATACCATTTGCATGGTTCTTCTATCTACCAAGTTGCCAAAGACAGAATCTGCGATACCAGACTCTCTGAGTTCACTCTTT